TTTTCCCTTTGGTCTTATAAAAATTATATGCCTGTTCCCAGGTGTCATTACATACCCTCTTGACAATCTGCTGCTTGTCAAGGCTTCACAGTAGTCTTTTGTATCCATGTTCATGAGCCATGGGAAGTACTGAGTGAAGCAGGCAACTTGTGAAATATCTGACTGAACTTAGACGCTGTCATCCACCGCCATGAATCAAGCCACTGTAAATCACAGCTTTGCTCTGCCAGTGGTCTCTCAACTTTCAATATATTTTGATTTAAGGGATGTTGGTTTATGATCATCTCATATTTCATGAGATGATATCTTGTGGGTACAGGGAAAGAACTAAACAAAATAATCAAAGGAGAACGCTGTGAGTAAACAAGAATGATAAACAAAGAACAATCCATAAATAGTACAGGTACTTTTTATAAAAACAGGTCTATATCATAATTAATGCTCTGCTTAGTGGTTACTTCAGTGACCCCATAGACTACCTATGCCAGGGTTTCCTGGTGGAGGTAATCATAGTCAAAGTCTTTGCAAAAGTGCTGCAAAAATTCTGTAAACAAATTATTTCCTTGGGCCTTTCTGTACATGACAGCTATTGTCTGTGATTCAAGGATTAAAATGGGGAAGAAAAGCAGTTCTGAATTAAGTGTTTCTCTACAAAATGATACCAGACAATATTTTAAAAGATTATTTTTTATTATTGAGGAATATATCACATAACATTAAAGAACAGATAATAAAATCACCCACAATTTCTCCCACTAGAAAAACCATTCTTAACACCTTATATTTCTTCCCAACCTCTTATATGCATATGTTTTATAATCTAATCATAATTATGCTATAGTATTACTTCTTACTTTTTTTTTAACATTATAAATTTTTATATATTATTAGAGTAAACGTCATAAATTACTTAGTCTATTACCTATGCTGGGATAGTTTCATTGGGTTCATTTTATCTTTCTTTAAAAAATAACTCTATGAAAAAAAATTAAATTTAAAGCTGGGATTTTAGTTCAGTGACATAAATGCATGGCTGGCAAGGGTGAGTTCAATCCCTGGTAAAAACAAAACAAAACAGAACAAACCAAACAAACAAACAAACAAACAAAAAAAAACCAAAAAAGCAAAAACCCTCTGTGGTCAATACTTTTGAGCCTCTATGTTTAATACATATTTAATTATTTCTTTAGTATAGTTTCTTAGAAGTACAATTACTTGACAAAAAGTATAAATACCTTTAGGACTTTTGATGTGCACAGATAAATTGCTTTCTAGATGGACTTTTTGGATATAATTTTTATTTTTATTTAAAAATTTTTTTTCCAAATGGACAAAAGAGAAGAACATGGACAAAAAGAGAAGAAGAAGAAGAGGCAGAAGAAGGAGGAGGAGGAGGAGAGGAAGAAGAAAAACTACAACAAAATTTCAAAACATCAATCAGGGGGCAACAATGATATACACATTGCATGCTGTCATCCCCAGATCATTCACCCAGAGCACAAGACATCTGCGTTCAATTGCCTGAACAATACCAAGACAAGTCTTTCTCTTCAGCATACTCAAAGAAATCAGCAGATATAACTATCTTAACTATTTTGGGCTTTTAATTTATATAATTCAGTTTCACCAGAAGCATGTAGGAGTACTCGGTAAGATAAATTTTTCTAAAACCGCACCATCGCGTAGATATGAAAGTGTGTATGCAGTACACCTTGCAGTAGTCACCTTGGAACGCTCCCTTCGTTTCTGAGCAGTTGTTTCTTGTGCCCTGACATCAGAGGTCCACAGGATTCTGAGCAGCCAGTGGTTATCTGGTTGGATTACCATCTACTCTATGCACCAGCCTGGGTTCTGAGTAACTTTTGGCAGTTTTAAAAACATCCCATCCTTGAAGACATTGGGAAGTGTGGACTACTGGCTCTGAGCCTGTGTTGTCTGGGAACAAAAGTTGTTTGCAACTAAAGAAAAAAAGTAGCAAACAATCTATGCTGCTTGCCTTCCCTTCCTGGGACATCTTAACTTGATGGATGCTGCTGTAGCTCACCCAGGGCTGAAAGGCCAGCAGAGATGACCATGAGGAAGTCAGTGCTGCCCGTCATTTTCCCTCAGCAGTTTCTAAATCAATGTGGCCCCTCGGTTTATTTGATACAGAGGAAAAAGTTGGCCTGCAAATGGGAGATTAGCATGGGTATTTATCACAAGATAAATTCTATTGTAAGAAACAATTTCATTGTTCTCTGAATGTAATATAATAGATTTTTCAGCTTTTTATTAATACACCTTTGCAGCACCTAATGTTCACATTCCTGGTGGGGAATTCCTGCAAGCACACACTACATCTTAATTCTTCATCACCCCTTTCCCTTCTCTCTCTCCCCATTCTGTCCGTTTCTTGCTCCCCTATTTGTTTTTGTACATATTTGCAATATGTAATGTTTACGTTCCTTGTGTGCATAATGAACACAACACATTTTAATTCCCCTTTTTATCCCCCGTTACTTCCCTCCCTTCCATGCCCTGAATCTTTGGATCCATTTCTCCTTTGAGAAAGATCTATCTTCTTAATTCTTATTTTCTGTTATGTATTTTTCTCTTCATTTATGCTTTGAGTTTCTCACATATGAGAGACTATACAAATCTAAGCTTGTGTGTCTGCTTTAGTTCACTTAATGTATGGTCTCAAAGCGCATCTGGTTTCCTATAAATGACTTAGATTTATCAATAGGGCAGAGTAGTACTCCATTGTGTATAAATACCACATTTTCTTTAACCATTCATCTGCTGATGGACATATAGGCTGCTTCTAAGATTTAGATATTACAAATTATGGTGCTATAAAAAGAGTATAGCTCTATCACTGTAATATGTCTTTAACTCTTCAAAACAGAAAGAAGAGGGGAATACCTGGGTTGAATAGAATTTCTAGTTTCAGTTTTTTTGAGCAATCTCTGTACTGATTTCCAGAGTGGTTGTACTAGTTTATATTCTCTCCAACAGTGTGGAAAGCTTCCTTTTTCCCTGTAGCCTCGCCAGCATTTATTATTTGGACAGGGAGAGGGGGAGGGGAAGGTGGAGGGGGGCGGGAGGAGGGGTAGGGAAGGATACACAAGGACAGAAAGCAAATGTGAACAAGGCTAATAATTAGGGAAGCCTTGTGAGGGATATGTTGTACTATTTTTGCCACTTTTCTGTAAGCTTGAAAACGTTGAAAATAAAAAGCTGAGAAAAATACACAAATACATTACCAAAATACCTTCAAAAATGATCAGAGAATGAGCAAAAATTATCTAGCCCTTGAAGATCAGAACATAAATGACTTTCCTGCGGCGGTGGGGGGTGGGGCTCTCTTGGAATTTCTCCTTTAATGGTGAAACTTCTAAACCTGGACTATTTCTTCCAGTGGTAGTTTCCCAAATACATTTAAAAACAGAATTGATGCTTAACTTTGCCAGGTTGGGAAAAATCTGTTTGATATTTTGAAAGGCAAATTGCTCCTAGAACTTGAGATCATAGAGCTCTGCTTTCCATGCAAAGGCATCAGTAAAAGACAGAGGGACACAGTAAAGAGTGGAAGAGAAAGGAAACTGCACTGATTGAAACATTTGGGGGTACGGAAAAGCCAGATAATAGTAACACTGAAGTTTGGTCTTCTCAACAAGTGTGTAAAACTTACTCAGCCAAGATGTCAGTTTGGGGGTGTGTATTTAACGTCTTAAAATGTTACAGAAAGAAGTTGTATATCTTTGTATTCACTTAAATGGTAGAGAAGGAGCTATGGACTTAAAAATTGTAGTAGCATGGGCTTCCTGGACAATGGCCGGAGGCAGTGACGGCAGCAGAGGTCAGATGGGATGCCAAGCCACTTACCTGAGACTCCCACGTTCAGGTAGACTCCAGTGTTCATAAAAGGAAATAGTTTCCCGATATTTACAGGAACAGAACTGAGATGCCATTAGAAACCAAAAGGCTTTTCTTGAAGTTTTCTGTCTTTTATCATAATTATACTAACAATTAATCTGAGGAAGACATTGGAATTAAATGTGGGTTTTCCTCATAAGGTATTTGATAAAAGTAAAAATTAAGCAATTGTTCCCAGGGAAACTAAGGTCATGATTTTTATTTCAATTGTATGATATTTATAAATGTATTTACATGTTTATTTTATTATATATTTACATATCATATATAGCACTGGTAAATATGTACATTTATAGATGTATTAACATTTCACATTATAACAAGGTAAATTTAATAAACATGAGGCTTACTTATTAATTGATCCCTTTACAATTGCATTGTATAAGGAAAAACTAAGCACCTGATATTTTGTCGCTTCCTTTCTTTCCCTGTTGCTTATTACTAAGTACTACAGAATTCTATTATTATAGTTTCTTATTAATTTTATCCTGTACACGGGACTTCCTCTTACTTGCTTTGTATTACACACCTTTCCCATTGCTGGACATGATACCTTGCATCTACAGTTTAAAGGAGGAAGGGACTCATTTGGGTCACACTTTAAGGGGACGCAGTCTGTGGTCAGCAGCATCATGGTCGAAGGGTGGGACCGAGCTAAGCCGCTCAGCTCATGGAGGCTGGGAAGCCGAGCAGGACCAGAGAGAAAGGGTGAGTATGTGAGCTTGCATTGGGTTATTTAAGGGGCAGGGAAACCATAATATAAAAGATCCAGAGGAAAGAACAGAGATTTTAATTAGATAACTTAATGATGATACCAGCTGTACCTCATGTCTCTGTCAGGACTGAGACAGTGTAGTGTATTATCAGTTTCATAATTTTAATTTGTATTTTTTGCTCATAGCTGTATGTACTTTGTGAATAATTCTAACTGAATATACATGAATATAAACATATATTAGAATCAAATTTGTGTGTATTTGATATCCATTAGTCAATTTTGAAAGAAGAAGGCAGGTGAAAGATACACCAATGGTTATTTTGTGTTATTCAGCTAAATAAGAGAAATTTAAACAGGAGTCAAGTCAAAATTGCTGAGGACATTTATTACTGCCAGTTGAGATTAATGAAGTGTAGAATGTCTTTGCTTAAGATGACCCAAGAGGAGTATCACCTTGCTCCTTAGATGCAGGGTTTGCTGTCCTGCTGTCAACAGTTGGTGTGGTGGCCACCCTTGTCTCTTTGTCTAGGGCATCTCATGATAAGTGCTGCTTCCCGGTGACTAGCTTTGCTGCAGAGTTTGAAGCCGCTTCAGTTTTGTCTTTTGCCTCCGAGCAGTTCTGAGTTTTTTAGTTTTTAGGAAACTGTCCTCTAGCTGATAGAGAAAATTTTCAATTCGTCCAACCTAGAAGACACGAACAAATATAATGAGGTTAATGTTGTTGGTTTTCTGGATTTTGTGTTCTTAGAAAAATGGTGGGGCACTTAAAACTAAATGACCCTTGTACATATTGGAACAGAACTGCAGACAGGAGGGGTTAAACGTAAAAGCCTGCTTCTGTTTCCATTTCAGGCTCCTGTGTTTCACAAATACAGAGCTAGCATATAGGACTTGGCTTCATCAGTCAGACCTGCATACTGGAAATGGAATGGGTATTATCATCACCTCACTGTTTTTAATAGTTGGTGACACCAAAGATTTCGAAAGGAAGTAGAGAGCGAAACATTAATCCATGGCAACTCTTTTTCTACCTCTTTTATCAAAAATAAGAGACAAAATGACAAACCCACTCTCTTAAAAGCCAGCAGTTCTAACATGTATATACATCCCTGACCACACTGTCCTCGCAAGAACCATTTCTCCTTTGAATCAAAAGGAAAATTTGAGAAAATTTTCTCAAATTTCTTTTAAAATGCCACACTCCAAGGAATAGGATAAAAGTCATACAAAGCAATTTTTTGAAAAAAAAATAAAGTCATCTTTCTCCAAAGAAAGCTTACAATTATTTAGTGATAGTTGGTTGAATGTATTTATACAATTTATCTAAAAGAACTGTAGTATGAAAGTTTACATACATGCTGAATCAGAGTCTTATGAAAGTCAGTAGATGTAACAATTCATACTTAACCTTGACTTCTACAACCTGCATACTGTGTTAGTTTAACATCACTTACTGAAGAGACTGTTCTCATAAAGTTAGCTCAGAGCTAGACCACTTACTATTCAAGGTACCATCTACTTAAAATAAAAGCACTTAGAACTTCAATCTTCCAATTTTGTGTTCCATTTTAAACTGTTTGATTTATCATTCAGAATAATATTCAAAAGATAATTCAGATCATCAAAAAGAGAAAATAAAATAAGCACTCATCTATATATTATACTTAGATCCTATTTCATACCAGGTGATGTAAACTGTCCATTGGGTTCCTTAAGAAAATAAGATAAGTTATTTATACAAAACAATTCTTTTTGAAAGCCTTTTTAAAAATTGTATCAGGTAAATATCTCACAAAGCATTTTGCCACTTATAATGTCTTGTCATTGTGTGAATCATCCAAATAACTTGACAGAATATTTTTAGGTTCTATCATGAAGTCAATACATTATTCTATGTATTCCATACATTTATACTATCCAATTTCCACCAAACTAATAAATAAAAAGAAAATAACAGAATACAATCAAGAGGAATATAATGTGTAACACTTTGTTACTTTAACAGTTGAGTTGATGACTCATGCATGTCATTTGCACTGAAAATAATATCATTTAAATCAAAGCTCTTTACAATTTGAATGTTTATAACTGACCCAAATGAAATTTGGAATTACAATCCTAATGCAACAACCATAAAAGTTTTCTTCAATGAGAGAGAAAAACAATTATTTTAAAATATCCTTTAAGTGTCACCTGTTTTTTTGATAACTTTTTATAACAGTGGTATTGACTAATTGGGTTGCCTTTCATTAGAAAAATGCAAAGAAGAAAAATAAAATGTGACATTAGATTACTGAGTACGCTGACACGATGTGCATGTGGAACACGGCCTGTGTGTTCATCTCCACCTGGTTTAGCTACTTACTGTCTTTTCAGTCTTATAATGACACAAGAATGATCACTTTAAATTGTACATCTGATTACATCTTTCCCTTACTTAAAAAAAGTATCTTGTCCAGTTATTTCTTCTTATTGGTACATGTTTATAGTACATGCTGCATATATTCATATATTCATGTTGGGCAGTTGTTACAGGGACGCCACACATCTTAATTATTTTTGCATTTCCATCCCCTTCCTTCATCTGTTGGTCTCCTTCCATGGGCAAAAGATCTATCTCCCTGTTTCCTATTATTTATTCTTTATTTTGCTGTGTAATTTTTTTATATTTGGGTTTCTCATATAATTCAGATGATACTTAAGCTTGTGTTCCTGCTTTATGATTTTTCTACAAATGACTCAAATTCACACTTCTTCATAGAAGAGTAGGACTCTGTTGTGTATATACATCGCATTAAAAAAAACTATTTGTTGATGGAAATAGTTTAAGTGGATTCCTAACATCTTAACAAGACCTCTCCAGACCCGTGTGAATTGGTTCTATATGTGTTTCTAGCTCTAACATCACTCTGTTCACTTGAACTTCATGGTTCATCTCTCAGTTATCCAGGTATCCTTGATCTCTCATTACTATTGAGCTCTGATGCAGTGTTTCTCTTAGAAACCTAATGTATCCTTTAGATTTCAGGCTAAACATCAATGATCCAGGATGCTCCTCTTTATAATCCAGGCAGGTTAGGTCCCTCAGTAATAATATATTACCATAGCAGTTCATTCATCTCTAGATATTTTAATTTTTTATATCCTTCCTTATGATGATTTATATAATTTGTCTTCTCTTAAGATTTCAGTTTCATAAGATAGGAACTACATCCATATTGTCCATTATTTTCAGAAATAAGATATGGTGGAGTCTCAATAATTGTACTCTTGGATAATAGATCAGATTTAGAAAGAAATGTATTTCCTGTACTCAGAATGATGCTTGGTGTACAGTGTACCAGAAGGTCTTTTTTTTCCTTAGCATTACTTTACACTCCACCATTTTCTTATGATTGTTTACCTTTGAGACTATCAAGGCATAGTCATAGTAACAAGATGTCTCTATACTTGAAACAGTGGTAGAAGCAGACTTGTAAACAGTCAGCAAGAGCACTGAGACATGCTCTTGGCTTAGTGTATTAAAACCCTGCTCTGGGACCGCTGGGAAGTGTCTTGCCCTCTCTGAGCTTCAGTCTTTACCAGCATTTGGTATTGAGAGAGGAGTGGCCTGTAAAGTTCCAAGGACACACTGAGTCATAAAACTCACTTCGGATTTAACTAGTTCAGTCCTAAAGGTGAACACTCACATTTTCAAATCAGAGTTTTCCCCCTTAGAGTACACCATAAGATGAATGGCACATGATGCAGTAAAGTAAGTCAATTTTAGTCTTTGTACTTACAAAAGTGTGGGGGAGCTGTGACATGTTTTTAGTATAGCTGGCTCTTTATTTTCTGAGTTTTTTTTAGGAAAAGAAAAATGCTGGTGGAAGAGAAAATAGATTCATATAACTAAGAAGAACAGATTGCAAATGATAGAAATTTTATAAAGCCTTTGGGAAAATAAAACACAAAGAAATATGTAAGTGTTTAAGAAAGGAAATGAGTCGGTTTTTGGAGCAGAGGCTTTTTTAGACTCTCTTTTGGTATATAATCTGCTTGCTTAACTGTATCAGATGGTCATTCTAGGTCTAGTTTTCCCATTTGCAAAATGGGCAGGTAACATTTTCTTATGTATGTGTGTGCCAATGCTGACGGCATTACAATGACAGGGACATCAGAAAAAAGGGTGTATTGAATTTGGGGATGTCTAATGGCTGAGGGAACCCTCAATTCTCAGTAGGAAGGTAGGGTCTGAGCTAGCCTATGGCCACTGATCATCATTCACATCAAAAGGCAAGGAAATTATCAGCAGCTAATTTATTTTGTCCTTTTAAAATTTAGATTCAAACAGCACTGTCATGGATTTTCATGTGAATATAGAATTGTGTTACTCTCTAAATTCATAGGTTAAATCTAACCGCCCAGGGGCTGGGGATTTAGCTCAGCGGCATAAGTGCCTGCCTTGCAAGCAGGCAGTTGTGAGTTCAATCCCTGGTACCGATAAAAACGATAAAAAAAAAAAAAAGACAAAAAAAAATCTAACCACCCAATAGCTTAGAATATGATTTTGTCTGGAGAGAGGGTCTTTACACAGGTAAGACTGAGGTCATTCTAATTCAGAATGACCAATATCTTTATGAAAAGGGATGCTTCAACCTATGTTTATAGCAGCACAATTTGTAATCGCCAGATCTTGGAAACAACCCAAGTGTCCATCAACTGAGGAATGGATAAAAAAGTTGTGGTATTTCTATACAATGGAGTATTATTCAGCTATAAAGAAGGATCACATTGAGATATTTATCAATAAATGGGCGCAGCTTGAGACCATACTCATAAGTGAAATAAATCAATCTCGCATGTGTGAATACCGAATAGTTTCCCTAATGTAAGTAATGATTCAAATATATAAAAATATGTGGTAATCATGATTTCCCATTAGGTGGCCTTGAAGCCTTATAAAGTTTTCACTCATTAATTAGAAAGGCTTTATTCTGGGCTTCTTGATATGAAAATATTTGAAACTAGAGTATATGAAGTTTTATCCAAATATTTCAAGGAAAAAGATACTATGGTAACTACTATTAAGTCGGGTTATATGGTGGTGAAGTACTAGGTTGTTGAAACAGTCATGCTGTGATCTCTATTGTTATATTGTTATGTCCTGTTTTATCTCAATCTCCCCCTTATTGTTTTAAAAAATTATTTAGTCATTTCTTATGTTTGTCTTATTAAAGAAAAAATTCAAAAAATTAGGATATATAAATAGTAACTCTTTTTGATTTCCTATTAACTTGTTTTGAAGTCCTGTAGTACTCCCACGATCTTGTTTTGACTGATTAGACTCTGTTCCATTCTATATGGTAGTATCAAGTTTGAAGACATAGGCAACTACTTTGAAGACAATAAGATTCACTAAGATACTCATTCTGGTTTGACTATGGTCTTCTTTGGAAGTCCTGTAATGTTTACAATGCCTAAGTTTTATTGGTCTTGTTCTCTACTGTTTTGTCCAACTTTATAATATCTAATAAGATAGACAATTCTTTTTAAGGAAACAAGGGACAACGTTGATAACCATTGTTGATAAACTTGTACTCTGTTCTGCACCATGTGCTATGTCTATCCTTGGTATTGACTGACAGCTTTGTTTTGCCATATTTGACTGTATTCTCCCCCCACCAAAAAGTAATAAGCACTAA